CTATACTTAAACCACCGGTATATATGTATTTATATATAAACAAATTGGGAAAATAGATAAATAAAAACAAAGAATACATTCCGGCAATTCATTTTTTATGTCTTAAAATCAGTATGCGTCGAGAGCGTACTGTAAGATTTCGTCCAAATCCAATTTCAACATAGACTCATCTGTTTCACAGTTTTATGGTCTATACCTGAGGCACCATTTGATAAAATCAGTGACTGTCCTTTTTGCACATTTACCGACACGCTATCCTAATGGGTTTTGCAAGTTCAGGAATATTTTATACGGTATAAGACATCGTTTGGAATAACATAACACGTACTCAGATGATGACGAGACAACTGTGAGCCCACAAATCAGTGAATTCAGTTAGTTTCGGGTGTGCCTTCAAAATGTATCGTTAGAATTGCCATGAAAAATCACTTACCGGAATAGTACTCAATGAGAGCTTTGATGGAAGGGAATGGATGCTTTTCTTTCAAGAAGTACGAGTTTCCCGAAAGCGACTGATAGATCTTGTAGTGTTTCACCTCTTTCGTCTTACTATTCTCACTTAGCAAAACGGAAAGAGCGTAACCTTCCGCGTCTGGGGACAGAAAGAGGACAAGAGAGATATTAGGAGGTAAATCTTATGAATCAATGAATAATAATCATTATGCAAGTTCAAAATACGTCTGGATACAGTTAGCACAACATTGGACATTGGACATTTGCTTCCAACGCCACGTGTCTTGATTGCATTTTACTAGTCGCTTTCAGTAATCCAAACAATTTCCCCAAGCCAATTACCGGAACAAAAAAATCCCCGATGACCTCAATGGTAGAAAGCAACAGGCAACTGATCTGACTCCTTTCCATTCTGTTTATGCATCCTATAGATTGGCCCATCTAGGTCAGCTTAATGCAGGAGGCATCAGGCATCTCAGCAGCACTAGGATTTACACACTACTGCGCGGATGAGACCTAACTAGGTCAAAACAGTCAGCCCAGTGCTTTCACACTTCTTACGTCACACTTCACGGACTCCGTGCACGACGAAATTCATCGAACAAGTAAATCACGCCTTAGTTTCCCAGTCCGCTTTCTACCATGATTTAAAAGTTGTTCATAAATTTTCAAGCGGATTAGTGCAATACAACATAATTCCTCTCTTTCCTTTGTTTACCAAAACGTTTATAAAGTTTACCGTCTAATGAACAATCTTATTTACTATTGATTTCGGATAAAAATCGAATGAAAAACTTATTTTATTGTTTCAACTTACTTGAAAGCGAAGCAGACACCATGGGGTACTCTTCACTTCTTTCAAAACATTGTGCTTACATTTTTTTCGTTTTTTTTGGCAGAGCAAAAATGTGTGGCGTCATAATCAGCAAACAGTCATCACCCAAGTTTTATTAACTTTGTTACATTAGACCTTATTGACCAAAGACGAAAGGCCGTTCAGCGTATATTTTCAGCAAAGTTGATTGTTGCCTGGCGCGTCTGTGAGAGGCGGATAGGAGAAAAGATTCAGTGATGTCGCGGATATTTTTGTCCTCTTCTTTTTGTCCTATCTTTCAGGGCGCCATTTCCTCTCCCTTCATTTCCCTGTAAATAAACAAACCCAATGTCCCAACCAACTTTATTGCCTGTAAGTATGCTGACGATGTGGTGACTGGGTGTCCCTCCAATAACAATGTGTTTTTCACCAAATTCAAGTCAGTATAAACGATACTTTTAGTTGGTCCCGGTCCCAAACGCTTACGCTCTATGTTTCCAAATTTGTTGATGTTCCCTTCAAACTTAAATCTGGTTCTAGTTATCAAACTACATTTAGTGATTTATCTGAACTCGTCGTTAACCTCGTCACAACGTTCCCAAAGCTGACTCCGTTAAATACATCGGCATTGTTCTATCCCACAATCTTCCCGGGACTTACCATGTAGAGAATACATACAACAGGGTTCGTAAACTTTCTCTTTATGCTTCCAGGCTTAGGAAGCTTGCAGTTACCATATCTAGAGGATTATTGATGAATTTTTTCCATGGAGGCGACTTTTACTAAGGTAGAAGCAAGTCGCTAATCAAGGTTACGATAACCGTGGGTCTAACATTGTACTTACTTCTACTCAATACGCCATGGACCATCCGGCACGGAGCTATCATCCTTTGTAGAATCATGAATAACTGTGAGTTATTCTTAGCACCGCATGTTTCATCTATCGAGCTATAAGGGATCCCACAGATGCAATCAAACTGTGAACAGATGCGACGAGGATGAGAAATGATGCAACAAAGATGAGAACCTATCCGACGAAGCTGAGTAACAAAGGGACTATCTGTAGGTGATAGATTGTTGCAGTCAACATTGTGAATAGAATTCAATAGTCCACCCGGGATTTACAAAGGAAAAATATAATTTCCGGTAGCCAGTGTATAAGTTCAAATCTGATCTTGCCGTCCGCTTGAAATATTGCTAAGTGCTTCACCGCATCCTACTACGGCTGCTAAGTATCTTGTCAAGTGTGCATTTCAAAGCCTGAAATATGTAGGCAATGACATCTGGTTCCCATGAGTCGATGTGATCTGACGGAATTTCTGTCAGTAGGCTACTGAGGACCTAGACTGAACTCACTCATGCAACGATTCATTCATTCACGTCCGGACATAGTGATCGATTCATCAGCACGAGACTACACCTTGACGTGGTGTGATGGCTTGTGCACCTCTGTGACCCAACGAGCTATACAGGATGGCTTTATAAAGCCAGGAGATCTTATCATGCCTGGAAGGTCAATGGGTAGAGGTTAGATGAAGTTCAGTCTCCTGGTCCTCCAGGTTGGGGGTTCGCCTGGAATTTGGCGTTTCAGTCGATAAAAAGCGCTGGAGAAATAATCGATCCAAGTAAATGGGCGTCTACTTCGCCTTGTGGTTAGGTTCTTGTTAGAACCAAAGGCTTCGGACGAGAACCCTAATCGTTCTCCTTCTTAGTGGCTGGACATCCTAGCATTAGCTGTCCACCAAACCCCAGTGCATACACAAAATAAAAAATAATTCCATAATGCATCGGTCGTCGCGCAGGATAATCAGGACCGCGCTGCCCATTGCATCGAGCTGGGTGGGTAGTGATAAGTTGGCTACTGCTCAGATATCCCAATCTTTGTTTAACTCTTTGTCTTCCGTTCCCAACCCTCTCCCTTTACACCTTCTACCGACCGGTAATAGTCCCTCAAGCAACTTGGAAGTCACTCGCCAAAGGTCATTGCCAAACAGCACTGTAAGTGACTTACCGCGGAATGGATTGCAGATTCTAAAGCCTCGTCAATCACTGAATCTGGGGGCCTTCAACGTGAGGACTTTGATGCAGCTAGGTCAACAAGCTCGTCTGGCTCGTACAATGGAACCCTTAGGAATCGATATTTGCTGCGTGTCGGAAACTCGGATCCAGGATCCCACTACTCTAAGCCACTTGAGCGCGCCAGATTTGTCGACGAGATACGTTATTCGTACATCAGGCGACAATGAAGCTCGTTTAGTAGGTCAGCGCGAGGTTGGTATTGTACTCAGTAATAGGGCGGAGTCCTCTGTAATCGATTGGATCCCGGTCAACTGTCGTTTATCTGCAGTGCGTCTCCAGGGTTCAATCAGCGTCCGGAAAGGAAGCAACACTAAAAGGTGTTTGCTTATCGTATCAGCATATGCACCGAC